GCCTGGTGATTGGCCCAAACTCACCCAGCTGGCTTTCATGCCTGAGGCGGGACTAGAATTCATAGTCACCTGCTGATTGGACCAACCTCACCCAGCTGGCTAAGGCAAGACTAGAACTCACAGTCTCCCGGTTTCTAGCCTGGTGCCTTAAACACTAGGCCAAACTTGAGCTCCCCAGCTAATTCAGCTGCTCAATTCCTCCCTGCCTGGGCTGTCCATCGGGGGAGGAAGGTCTCCAGAGCTTACCGCTTTGAGGATGCCATTCGTTGGGTCAAACAACAGGACCGTCGCTTGGTGCGAAGGAGACACATTCTCATAAAAGGTCACCAGCTTGGTTGTCAGAGCATCGTCGTTTGCACTGTAGGCGGGCATGACCCCCAAAAAGCTTTGGAAGGAAAAAAAAAACAAGGGAAGGGGTACAAGCTAGTCTTCAATTTACGACCATATTTGAACCCTGCCGAGAGGGTTGTAAGCCATGACGATTGTAAAGCTGGTCATCCTTACCATCGAGCTGCAGGCTAGACTGTCTCTTATCCGACTGTTCCCTAGGCAGCATCACTTCACCTGTGTCTCCCGAGGTCTTTCTCACAGATCCTCACAACTACCCACCTTCTGCTGGGCACCAGAGAAAGTGAGCTCACGCTGGCTGTGCTTCCCCCCACCCCGAAAGGGTTTTGAGAATGATTCCTGCCTTCTGGCCTCACACAAACCCGTTCGAGTCGATTTCCTAAGAGGAGACAGACAGTCCCCCTCTTTCCCAGAGCATTAGATGCTCGCCTAAATGAAGTGAAGTGTTAATACCACTTCATAAGTGTTAGTACCCCCTTTATAAGGCCTTGGTAAGGCCACCCTTGGAATACTGCATCCAATTTTGGTCGCCACACTATAAAAAAAGACATTGAGACTCTACAAAGAGTGCAGAGAAGAGCAACAAAAATGATTAGGGGACTGGAGACTAAAACCTATGAAGAAAGGTTGCAGGAACTGGGCCTGGCTAGTCTAGGGAAGAGAAGGACCAGGAGAGACATGAGAGCCGTCTTCCAGTATTTGAGGGGCTGCCCCAAAGAAGAGGGAGTCAAGCTAGTCTCCAAAGCACCTGAGGGCAGGACAAGAAGCAATGGGTGGAAATGAATCAAAGAGAGAAGCAATTTAGAACTAGGGAGAAATTTTCTGATAGGGAGAACAATTAATCAGTGGAACAACTTGCCTTCAGAAAGTGTGGGTGTTCCATCACTGGAGGCTTTTAAGAAGAGACTGGACAACCATTTGTCTGGAATGGGATAGGATTTCCTGCCTGAGGGGTGGACTAGAAGACCTCCAAGGTCCCTTCCAACTCTGTTATTCTGTTACCCCCCCCCCCCACCAAGTATTCTTCCCATTCCCTATTTCAATCTGCTAGTGTTAGCATCTGGGGCAAAGCTTAGAGGGGGGCAGAGAAAAGTGGGGGACGCAGCCTGGAAAAGAAGGTGCTTCTCCCCCCCTCCCCAAAGTCCACCTTGGGACTCTCCACCCCCACCCCGCAAGGGTTGGAAAGCTCGCCCGGCCAGACGCCCCCTCCCCTGGGTGCTTGCTTACCCGCTGTGCTTCTGGATCGGGAGGACGGTGCGCAGCGGCTGCACCACGCCGCCCTCGGCCCCGCTGCAGAAGGCGGCCAAGGCGGCTTCCAGAGCCGAGAGGAGGGCGCGGGAGGCGGGCCAGTGCTTCTGCACGGCCCCGGCATCCAGGAAAACCGGCGCGGAGCTCATGCTGGCGGCGGGGACGGAGGCGAGCTGGCCGGGCGCGCAGGGAAGCGGCTCGCCTACCCTCCCTCCCGGCCACCGCCCAGGGCTGGGGGACCCCGCGGCTCCGGCAGCGCCCAGCACCGCCTAGCGGCCGCCGCAGCTCTGCCCGTCCGCGGTGGGGAAAGGGAAGGGAAAGGAGCGCGGCTCCGTTTTGCAAGCGGGCGCCCGGGAGCCGCGCGCGGGGCGGTGCGACAGCGCCGCTTTCCACGAGAAATGGGGATGAGAGGAGGTGCAAACTGGGATATCTGGGGATGATGGGACGTGCAGGCTGGGGCATCTGGGGATGATGAGACGTGCAGGCTGGGGCATCTGGGGATGATGAGACGTGCTGGCTGGGGCATCTGGGGATGATGGGACGTGCAGGCTGGGATTTCTGGGGATGATGGGACGTGCAGGCTGGGATATCTGGGGATGATGGGACATGCTAGCTGGGGCATCTGGGGAGGATGTGAGGTGCAGACTGGGATGTCTGGGGATGATGGGAGGTGCAGGCTGGGGCGTCTGGAGATTATGGGAGGTGCAGACTGGGATATCTGGGGATGATGGGACATGCTGGCTGGGATATCTGAGGATGATGGGACATGCAGTCCTAAAGCATCTGCGCCACGATAAGTAATGCAGCCCGGAGCCTCTAAAGGTGGTGGCAAAAGCCGCCAAACAGAGGAACCCACTTTTTTCCTTCTTTTATCACATTGCATTGACTTTCTCCCTCCTTCAGCTGCCAACCCCCCCCCCCCCCCCCCCAATGTTTGAATCGGGATTAAATATTTTTATTTCCCTCTCGGACTAAATGCTGAGTTATTCTTTTTTTTCATCAGGCTGGTTGCTCACATCAGAATAACAGTGTTGGAAGGGACCTTGGAGTTCTTCTAGTCCAACTCCTGCTCAGGCAGGAAACCCTATAGCATTCCAGACAAATGGTTTCTGTTGCCTGAAAGTAATCTGGTTTGGGATTACCTTCCCAAATAAATAATTTTTATTTATTTCATTTATTTCCCAAACGATTTGGGGCGGCCTTTAAGCTGCTTTGCTATTTCCTTTCTTAACACGGGTCTTCCCGCTTTAAAAATGAGACCGGGAAAATCCTTCCAATCTGCGGGAGGGGGCGGGGCTATAAAGGGGGCGGGGCTATGAAGGGGTGGGGCAGGAGTCCTTTCCAAACTCCCCGCAAATGGAGGAGTCCGCCTACAATCGGACGTTCTTGCCTAGGACTCGATGCTCCCCTCGATTCAAACCGGGACGCTCTAGCCAAACCCACTCCCCGTTAGAAAACCCCACGTAACCTTCGAACGTCCCCAGCTCTATGGTTCGGCGCCGGAGACCGAAGGGAAAAGAGGGCCGCCGCGCGGGGCAGGCAGGGAAGGCCGACCGTTTCCGCTGCCGCTTCCGCCTCTGCCGCCATCTTGGTTTCCTTCCTCGGGAGGGTCGGCGCTTGGCGGCCTCGGCGGCGATGAAGCCCCTTCTGGTGCTGGCGCGGTGCATCCCCGTGAGTCCGTTTAGCCGGCCGGGGGGAGCGACCCAACCGGGCAGGCCGCGGGGACCTCGAGCCGGGCCTGGAATCCCCCACGCTTTCCCGGGGGTGGAAGCGACCTTGAGCGGGTCCTTGCGGCGAAGGGAGCGGCTGGGCTGCCGTTGCTGCTTGTCAGGAGGCGATTGAGGGAGATCCGAAGGTCCTTTGGGGTGCCTGAGGCCGAGCCCTGGTTAGCCTGTCATGGCTGGGGCTGGGGGAGGTCGAGAGGTCATCGGGCTGTGCCCGCGGGGGGAGGGGAAGGAGGAATCCCTGCAGGTTGAAAGCGAGCAGATCTCATGTGTGTGTATGTATGTGTATATGTGTGTGTGTGTGTGTGTGTGTGTGTGTGTATATATATATATATATATATATGTATGTATGTATGTATGTATGTATAGTTTTGCATGTATTGACTGATAGCAGCAAGAATCGTATTTGCACAATATTGGAAAAATGAGGACACTCCCATCAGATGCGGATGTAATTCAGAAAATATTGGACTCTGCTGAGATGGATAGATTGACATTAATAAATAAAGGACAAAGAAGACACAGAATATTACTTAACATGGAATAGATTTTACGAGTGGTTAGAGAGAAGAGGTGGAAGTGAGGTGAAGAAAGACGACCGCTATGTATGAATTGAATATGAAGAGGGTTTATAATTATAAATATGTGAATATAATCAACAGAATTACAAATAAGCTAATATAAATAGTTAAAACCATTCTGTTACACTATTATTGTTATTAGTATATATGTTAATATTCCTTTTTGTTCTTTGCTTTTCTGTAAATGATATGTCCTGACATACTGCATTCAAAATGTTTATGAATAAATAAAAATATATAAAAATAAATAAAATAAATAAAAAGAAAGCTAGCAGGTCAGGGAGATAGATGGATGGGTGTCAGTCAAAGGACGTACAAGCGGAGAAAGAACTGCGCTCCAAGTGGAACTTCAAGCTCATTTTGGTCTTCGTGTTGCCACATTTGACTTTTCTGTGCCCTGCTGGAACTCTATAAAGGAAATGATGTCTTGCAGGAGAATGGGTATTTAAAACTCCCTGCATTTTTGAACCACGTATGTTCTGCCAGGAGAAATTTAAGCAAAACATATATGTGTATATGTATGGACAGCATACAAATTGGATGTCCTGGTAATTTTGATAGATAGGTGGGTGGGTGGATGGATGGATGGATGTAGATTGACGTAGGTAGGTAGATAGACGAATGTAGAAGATGTAGATTGACAGAGGTAGATTGATAGAAGTAGGATATAGATTTCTATAAATGTAGGTAGATGTGGATAGATGGATGGATAACTAGATACAGATCGAGAGGTAGATTGATAGAGGTAGGTGGTAGGTAGGTAGGTGGATGGATTGATAGATGTAGACAGACAATACCCACACACAAACACATACATGTAAAGGTAAAAGAGTCCCTGCAGATTTTACTCCGCTAGTCATTTCTGACTATATAGGGGTGGTGGTGCTCATCTCCATTTCTTTGAGCCAGTGCTGTCTGAAGACACTTCCATGATCATGTGGCCAGAATGACATCACGGAGCACTGTTTTTACACACACACACACACACACACACAGATACACTCACATTAATCTCACGTTTATACTCTCTTTACAGAAGAGGTTTTATTCTGTCCAGGCTGCACCCAAAATTAAAGGCTCTGCAGCACCCCGTGTGCAGTTACCCCCCGAGGAACTTGAGGTCAGTCTGAATTTTAAAATGCTTTGCATGTTGACATTTTGGTTAGCGGTAGAGTGACGTGAGTCTTGCACGGACCAATATCTCTTTATCCCAAATGCAGATTACAAAATTGTCAAGTGGCTTGGTGATAGCCTCTTTGGAAAACTATTGTCCAGTTTCTAGCATTGGCCTCTTCATTAAAGCAGGCAGTAGGTATGAGACTTCCAGCAATCTGGGAACGTCGCATCTGCTCCGTCTTGCAACCAGCCTGGTGAGATGCTCTTTTTTTCATTTACATTAGAAAATGCCTTTTCAGATTATTAAAGTCTAATGCACCAAAGAGGAATTTGAGGTTGGAGAATCAAGTCGGGCAGCGAAGAAAAATCCAGATAGCATGATGAAAGAATCTTTTTTTTTTTCTGGTGTTAAATAAAATGGACAAAAGAGAAAAGATATAGAACAGTGCCCCCCAACCTTTTGGGCACAGGTATCGTTTCCGCGGAGAGAGGTTTTTCTGTGGACTGGAGGAGCGTGGTTTCATGTACTGCCTGCATCCCACGGTCCAGTTTCGGGCATGCCGCAGCCCGGTGCTTGTCCACAGACTGAGGGTTGGGGATGGCTGATATATAATGGGCCAATTAGCCAAATTGGTTGCCTGAGATGGCTATCAAATTCTCCCCAGCAATTTGGCCTCCAGAATTAGGAACTTTGAAGTGCATTGGGCTAATAATATTTGATTGTTGAGTAATTTGGAAATAAGTCTTGACAATACGATGAACGGTTTCGCATAACACACTAGGTCAGGGTTAATTTCAGCATAATGTGAACAACTATGGATTAATTTAAGGTGCTTAAAACCAAATGTTGTAGGGCCATTTTTGCCATTTAAGTAATCTTAGCATTTCAACATTGTATGTTACCAGTACCCAAGTTTGCCTTCCTTCAGAATTAGCATTAATACTGTTGATAGGTACAGCTCAGAATGTTAAACCTTTTGTCCCCTTCTTCCATCAGACCACAAAAGGAGCTTCTTCCTTTAAGATTGTCACCGGCATTGACAGTGTTGCTGCTAATCTCAGGTTTGTTATCAAAGGTTCACCTTTTTTTTTGAAGGGTTTGGGAAAAGGGAAATGGATTCTCACAAGCGGGTTGCTTATAAGGTGCTTCTTTTTAATGAAAAGGCCTATATTTGAGTTTTGCATTTTATCAAACTGCTAAGGAATTTGAATAGCTCATGGCAGAGCAACTGAAAGCAGTGAAGGCTTTAAACAGAAAAACTGGAAGCCTTTCATATTTAATAATCAAAATTGAGATTTTCTGGATTTGCAGAGGGAATTTTAGTGATTTGTTTTGCATGTATTTTCTCAAATGTATTGGAAGTTGGACAAGTTGTAAGAGCTAGACTGTTGGTTTGATAATCTCCCCTTAATACTAGTGATGACACGCACACATTGACATTCATTCATTCCACAATGTGGCAAATGGTAGATTTCAGATATTTCCAATATATTTTCTCTTCTGCAAGTTTTATGTTTTTGTTTTTCCTTTTTCTAGTGTGACTGCTACCCGGGAGAACATGGTTTATTCCGTTGAATGTCTGCGTGATTACATGTAAGCATCTAGCCGTGTAACAAATCCCTTTTTCAATTCATTCAATGAGCATTCTCCTTGACAAAATTGTGGAACATTTTTGTACTAATAGTTTTTCTGTTTTTTAAAAAAAAATACATTGTGACTTTTCTTTGCTTGCTTTATTTAGTGATACTGTGCTGGAATATTTAATAAATGTCACTACTGCTCCGGAATTCAGGACGTGGGAAGTATCGGAACTCACTACCCGTTTAAAAATTGACAAGGAAATTGCCTTTCATATCCCCCAGGCCTGTAAGTGTTGTTTCTTTAAAGTTGGCTATAGTTCTTTAAAATGGGTGGGAAAATTTCCCTGCCACAACTCTGTTTCTTCAGAAATGAAGTGCTGCATGCTGAACACATGAGGCCACCCCTTTCATTCTTCCAATTCCATTCTTTGCTTTCATCTTAATCTCCTGCTCTTTTAGAGCAAGGCTTTCCAAACTTGGCAACTTTTAAGACTTGTGGGCCTTAAACTTATAACTTTTAAGCCCTGCCGACTGGTGAATTCTGGGAGTTGAAGTACCCATGTTTGGAGAACTGGGTTTTAGACTGATAGAGGACATTGCAGAATTCAAACACAACTCTGATAAATTGTTCTTTTTTTTAGATTTAGGCCACAGGCGGTCTGTCATTCTTATTATTTAAAAAAAAATCGATATGACTTGCTCATTATTACAACAAGGTTCTGAATATATTTTAAAAGAGACCTGCTAAGTTTAGTTTCAAAACTATTGTGCTATCTGCAAGTGTCGTTGCTTTCAATCCACAATTCTTATTCCTTCCTATGATAAGTGTGGCTTGATTGTGCCTCGGCCTCAGTTACTAATTACCTATAGATAAGATTTAAGTACCACTAATTCCCAGTCAGTATCAGTCATGTATGCCTTTGCTGGTTGGTTAAGTATTTGAAAGTGTTCATTTCTACTTTTTTATTGCAAAGAAAATCCTGTCACTGAGTTGAGAGAAAATGGTATAGGTAGCAACAGGATTTTTGTTTCGGTAGAACATAGCTTGTATACATATTATATTTATTTTTTATTGATTAGATTAATATAGCCGTTCAGATGACTGATCACACTGGTAACTCTGGGCAGTGCACACAATTAAAATAAGGAGGGTGGGAAAAGAGTCCTTTGAACTGCTTCATAATCAATTAAAAGTGTTTCCTTCTGTTTTGCCTAGGCGTTCTGGAGAGTTTGCACGCTGCAGCTTACCGAAATGCCCTGGCTAATTCTTTGTATTGTCCAGATTTCATGATCGGCAAAATTACATCAGAACAGGCAAGAATCTGAATGGTACTTTTACAGCAGTGTACATGGGGATGCTCTGCTTTGTTCATCCATAGACTCTGGCAAGGCGGGGCTTCAAATCTTGAAGGATTGGTTAGCTGCAGAATTCGCTAGGATGCAATGCAGTAATGAGTATCACCTCAGTAGTCTTTAAGAGGGATTAGATAAGGCAGCAAAGTACAGGTAGTTGTCAGCAACCATTCCAAGTTACCGCAGTCTTGAAAAAAAGTGGTTTACAATCACTTTAGTTTCATATAAGCTCTTTTGAAGGAGTGGTACAGTGGCCTAGAAGTGGAGCTCCCACCTCACAATCAGGAGGCTGTGAGTTCGATCCTAGGTAGAGGCAGATATTTCTCTCTCTCTCGGCACACTGAGAATGTAACTGCTGAACAAAACTCCGCATTGGTGACAGGAAGGGCATCTGGCCACTAAAACACTCTGCTAGCTCCATTCAGTTGCTCAGACTCCACCCCACAAGCGATTTATGGGGTCATTAGAAGAAAAAGATGATGATAAGCTCTTTTGAAGACTTTTTATCCCTTTCTTTATCGCAGTTGCACGAGTATGTCCAGAACAACTTCACTAGTGGACGCATGGCCTTGGTGGGACTCGGTAGGTAATCTGCCATTTCTTGTTTGATGCCATGCTGAATTCCATTCAAGACAACACTCTTATCATTTTGGGGTGTTCTCCTTCTGAGTCAAGGTATCTTCTTGCAGGTGTCAGCCACGCCGACCTAAAGCAGGTTGGAGAACAATTCCTTAACATTCGCAGTGGGGCTGGCATGGCCGGCGAAAAAGCCAAATATCGCGGAGGTAAGTTGCAGCCTTCTACCTTGGCTTTGCTCACGGGGCGCCTTTTTTAGCGTCCTCTGATTGCTGGGAATATTTGGGAAATCCAGCTCTGCTGGCTGAGGAACTCTGGGAGTTGAAGTCCACAAGTCTTAAAGTTGCCCGAGTTGATCTAGCAAATGTTTGCTGTGGTCCGAGAGTTTCCTGGAAGATTTCCTAGAATGCTTAGGAGAGAGAGGGGTTGGGTGAAAACCAGTATCACC